AGCAAGGGAGGTTTAGGTTGGACATTAGGAAAAACTTTCTTACTGTCAAGGTGGTTAAGCATGAGAATAAACTGCCTAGGGAGGTTGTGGAATCTCCACCATTAGAGATTTTTAAGGGATGATCTAGATGGTGTTTGGTCCTGCCATGAGGGCAGGGGCCTGGACTCGATGACCTCTCGAGGTCCCTTTCAGTTCTAGTGTTCCATTAACAGAATTTAGTAGCAAATGGTATAAGATGGTCCAAAAATATAGAGAAGAATGATTTGGTCTCTGAGAAACTCAGTTACTTGTCTAGAGCCCTGCTTGTTCAATCCCTGTGACATTGGTTTGATAGGACAGTAGTAGCATATTTAAAGTACCTCATAAATGCAACCAATTAAGCTTCCTAGCACCCCATGTAGGAGGGAGGGAAGAAAGGGGTGACCACATGAGACAGAAGTTGTAATGTCTGAAAGACCAAACGCCTTTAAATTGTCAGTGGCAGAGCTGCGGTTTGGCTTCAAAGGGCCTGGATTGTGTTATCTTACCATTGTACCTTGCTACCTCTGGGCTCAGAGGTGGCCCTCTTGAGCTTTGCTATTAACAGGAAGCTGTGTCCTAGAGCAAGTCCCCCAGCAGCCAGCTGTCCCATGCCCTGTCCTGAGACCCAGCCCGGAGGCAGGAATACTGCTCCCTGTGGTGGTGTAGGGAGAATCTGCTGTTTGACCTTGGTGCTCCAACAGTCAGAGCAACGCAGATGCCAGAATGCTCTGTCTTGGGGGCTCTGGGAAAGCACAGGGCCCCACAGCGCACAGATGACTCAGTTTGATCTTGGACAGTGTCTCGGTGTGTGGGGTGGGCTTCCTGGATGGCCTAGGCCTTACGGGGGCCAGCAAGGAGACCTGCCTGGTGATAAAGATGATCTTGAATCCCCCCTTCTGTCACAAGCCTCCTCACTGATTTAAAGATTCGCACCCTGCTTGGGGAGAGCAGAAGCTGCAGCCAGGGCATTCGTTAATGTGGGCATGGAATGGTCTCTAGGGGCCAAATCCTCCTCTCAGTGGAGCTGCTGAGAAATAGGCCAATAGATGCCTTTCCTCCCAGCGAGTGTTACCAGCTGGTGAGAACTTGCACCCACCACTGCAATGCAGCCGTCTCTGGAGAGAGTCCTCTGCTGTGATGTTGCAGCTGCATAGGGCAGCGGGTGGAGACAAGTGTCTTACTTAAATGAAAATTCAGGGCAGGGGAACTGAATTGCACAAGCTGGATTTTATCTACTATGGTGGGGTAAAAATCTTCCTATAGATGCAGGGCATTCTTCTCAGGGAGCGCACTGGCTGAATGCTGGGAGCAGCGCTTCCTATCTCATGGGCTCCTCTGGCCTCTCCTGATCTTTCACATGCTCTCCCCATTGCTGGCGCAAGAGCCATCTTCTGGGCAAGTCTTGCTCCCTGGAACAGCTTGTCTGTGTCTCTCCACATTCCAGATCTGCCTGGCTTCTCGCGAGAGATCCTGATGTTTGTTGAGTAAGAGCTTCGAGGGGAAGCCAGTCATGGGAAAGACACTGCAGGTTAATACGTGTCTGGAGCCATAGACAGGATTGGGACCTCTGCTATAGGGCTTGTACAAAAGACAGCAGTGCCCCCTATTGCCATGTAGGAGCAGTATTGTGGGGCTGAGCTATAGGGAAGAGCACTGGCTACAGCGCCATAAGGGGGGCGATACTTGTCATCTTACAGCTGCATATGAGAATACCTCCTCGCCCCAGTGGTGAGTGCTCACGATCTTGTATGTTGTAGAGGAGATTTCATGACGGGCCGTGGCGGTTAAGAACACTGCAGTACCACGAGGAGATGCACGGCTGTTGCTCTGTCACCAAACCCCCCAGAGACGGGCGAAGCATGTTGTGTAGATTCTAGCTGACCCAAAGCTGTGCAGCTGGCTGATGTGCCTGGGCACAGATGGGCTGCGTGTCTCTTTGCCCACTGCTGTAAGAGTAACAAACAGCCTCCCAGCCCCTACTGTTCTCAGTGGACCGTGGTAATAGGGCTCTGACACTGGGATCAGAGTTAAAATTCTAGTGCACTTCTGATTGTGACCCAGTCTGCACTGGCCACATACACATCCCGTCTTCCATCTAAACCAAAAGCTGACGAAAGAGGCAGGCACGTGCTGTTGGTGGGGGAGAGGCTTTTAAAGGGGAAACACATTTTGAAACATTGCAAGGAGGACGGGAAGGGAAAAGTCCTTGGGGAAGAACAGAAGAGTGATGCTTTCTAGGAGCTTTGGGAAATACATTATGCAGCATTCCAAACAGCTCTCGGTAGTGGTCTGTACTGATGTCCTTGGGGGATTGTCTTCCAAAGCCAAACTGAGCTCTTGCTTTCCTGGAGCTGAGGGCAGCCTGTGACTGCAGAGTCTGGCTCCTCAATGCTAGTGACGTGATCTCTAGGCTTTTTGGTGTGTGGTGCCTACTTCCCCTGCTCTCTGTGCTGTGCAGAGACCCCAACGTGACCTCTCTTTTTTTGAATCTCTCTGCGTTCTCTGAGCCCTGTGGCCACCCCTGCACTGGGGATGACTACGTGCAGAAAAAAATTCTAGGCTTGCAATGGCCTCAAGGCCTCTGAATGAGACAGTGTTGGCAACTCAGGACTAACCCTTGCCTTGGACACCTGGGATTTCTGCAGTCCGCCTGTGGAAGGCAGGGGCTGGTTAGCCTGCGTCCCAGCTAGGTTGCCAGGTGTCCGGTTTTCACCCAGACAGTCCAGTAATTGCATCTTCTGTCCAGTAAAAAAAAACCCAGAAAATACCAGACATGCAAAATGTCCAATATTTTCTGTTTTTCTCAGACGGAAGGCCGGCGGGGACATTTTTCCCCAGCTGCATGGGGTGGGGGAGCGGGGCAATTTAAAGGTGCAGCGACTTTTTTGGGGGGCAGGGGCAGGATTGGGGGGCTCAACCAATTTTTTCCCCCGCCGTGTTCAGGATTTTTTGTGAAGGTCCCAACCGGGAAGTGGGCTTGCCTGCCTGGGAGGGGAAAGGATTTGGGTTGAAACTGGTACCGAGGCACCAGTCTCCTGCTCACACAGCAGGACTGGGATTCAGAGCAGTGTGTAGACTCAGCGTTGCCACTTTCCTCACACTCCTCACTACCACTACTATTTTGGTGTACTTTGACCAGTTCCAAGCAGGCAGGTTCCTTCAGTGCTCAGTGTCCGTGTCCCCACACCATCCATGGCAGTGTGCTCGCTTCTTTACAGTGGCTCCCGACGCTTGTTCCTACCACTCGCTTCCCAAGTTGGCTGGGGTCCCCTCAGCCCCATGGCAGTGGCTTGCTCTTCTTGGCATCATGTCTGGCTGCTTGAGACATTTGGAGGGGTGAGGATGGGGATCGTGTGTCGTTCAGGCCAACACAAATACCCCAGCTGTGTGCGTTCTTCATGAGGGGCAAGGACCCCAGCGGCATCTGGACCACGAGGAACAGCCATGGCCTTGAGTTCCAGCAGTTTGCCTAGGTCTGGGCAATAATTTTTGGCCAAGGCTGCCCCGGAAGGGGTGGGGCCTAATCTGGAAGGGACGGGGCCAGAATACTTCTGGGCTTCCCCACCCCCAGACCATAATTGGTCTGGAGGTGGGGGAATCCCTTTGCCCCCCCCTTCCCACTAGGCGTCCATGCCCCTGGCAGGGCAGGAAGAGGCTCCACACACTCCCCCGCCCCCACTCCCTGATTGGCCTGTGGTGGGGGGAGTGCGCGAAGCCTCTTCCCGCCCTGCGCCTGCCCCGCGAGGAGCATGGGGCACTTCAAAGGTGCTCGTAGGGCGGGAAGAGACGTCCCGCGCTCCCCCGCCCCCAAGTCCTGATTGGCCCAGGGGTAGGGGAGCTGTGCGAAGCCTCCCTCGCCCTGCTCCCGCCCTGCGCGAGGGTGCAGCACTTTGCAGTGCCGTGCGCTCCTCACAGGGAGGGGGAGGAAACTTTGCACGCTCCTCCTGCCCCCTGGCCAATCAGGGCTTGGGGGTGGGGCAGAGCGTGACGTCTCCTCCCGCCCTGTAAGCAGCGCACGGCACGTCAAAGAACTGCGAGCTGCTCACAGGGTGGGAGGAAGCTTCGTGCGCACCCCCGCCCCCAGGTCCTCATTGGCCTGGGGACAGGGGAGCCGCAGAGCCTCCGCGGGCCGAATCAACCCGCTTGGTGGGCCGGATTCGGCCCGCGGAGGCCCCTTTGCCCACGCCAGCCTAGGTGGATGGAGCAGCTTGTCAGCGGCATAAGGGAGCTAACAAACGAGACTTGAGGCCACACGTGGTTCTAGACAGTCATCTAGCTGGAGTCCTAAAGATGATCAGTTGGGTTGTGAATTCTTTGGCGCCTCTGTTTTTCCCTTTGTACTTTGTGTCATCTCTACCCCCCTGTGGAAGCAGACGCATCTGGTCTACAGCAACTGTTCAATGTGAGGATTAACTAAATCCTACTTTTTCTCTGCGCCGGCAGGGCTGTCAGTTTGGGTGCAGAGCAGAGGGGGGTGGATAGCTCATGATTTCACGTCACTTTGATTAGGTGCCTGGCAAGCTTGGGCAAAGCTTTATACAAGGGTCATCCTTCAACTTTCCAATTCCAGTGCACAAGGAAGGCAGGCTGGCCTAACCTAGGAATACCTGGGTCCTCACCACAGCTCTGTGAAGGAACTAGCCAAAAGCTACTCACATCCTTAAAATCTGCTGATTGATAGTCCCCATGACAATAAAAGCCCTCTCCTCTGCCCGTGTTTGGGGCTAATCAATGATTGCAGGACACTTTGCAAATGGAACCTGGCATCCTTCAGTGTTTGTGTCTGCAAAGCACGTCTGTCTCTGCTCCCCTCTAGTGCCTTCAAGAAACTGTTGGTTGGAGGGGGATGTTCCCCAGTAATACAGAATTACTTTCCACCTTTTCTAGGCTCCAAGTTCCTCCTCTGGGCTGGGGATTCTCCCCCTTCTGCTATGTTACTATGAAAGTCTGAGTCCCTTTTTTCTCTGTTGTGGTTTTAGCCTCCGACCGCTAGACATCGAATTCATGAGACGCCTGAGCAAAGTGGTTAACATCGTGCCAGTCATCGCCAAAGCCGACACGCTAACGCTGGAGGAGAGAGACTATTTCAAAAAAAGGGTAAGAGGATGGCAGCTGCTCCCCAGCCTGCACATCCCACTCCCTTCCTTCTTCCCTCCCCCCACACCCCCTGCAGGTCTGCAAAGCCGAAGGGCTGGCCCGGAGCCCAGAGCATTCCTTAGGCTGCAGCTCTGAGTGATCCCATGTGGCAGGAGGAAGGGCCTTCGCTCCCAAACAGTTCCTTGTGTTTCTTTTGGATCTCGGTCAGCTCACAGTGAATTTCTAGCTCTTGGTCTCCTCCTGCATGGCTGTCTTCTGCCCCCCCCTCCCCCCCCCCCCTCCTCCCTTCTGCACACTATGTAGAGCCTCTCAATGTTTTGGAGAGTCAGTATTTCTGCACGGCACTGTGCAAGGAGACCCAATCCAGACCAAACTGTGCGTGCTGAGCTCAGCTCTGAGAGATTGGCCAGGGAGGCAAACAGTGCAATTCCCTGGATTGCATCAGTTGGAAGTTGGTGGGGGAGAGCCCCTAAGGGGCTGTCTCATTGCAGCCAGGTGTTGAGAGCCTCTCAATGTTTTGGAGAGTCAGTATTTCTGCACGGCACTGTGCAAGGAGACCCAATCCAGACCAAACTGTGCGTGCTGAGCTCAGCTCTGAGAGATTGGCCAGGGAGGCAAACAGTGCAATTCCCTGGATTGCATCAGTTGGAAGTTGGTGGGGGAGAGCCCCTAAGGGGCTGTCTCATTGCAGCCAGGTGTTGTGGTGCCGCTGTTTTGCTTTGGCTTTCAAAGAGCTGTACATTCACTGATGTGACGGAGGGTGTGGCCCAGCGCGTGCTGCAGAAATGAGCAAGGCACCAATCAACTCTTGGCTTCTTGAGTCTGAATTGCCATTCACAGTAGGACTAGACTGGGCTTTGCCGGCCCCAGCGTTCAGCCAGCATTCCATAAATATCTCCGCAGAATGCAGCCAGCCTGACGGGGGGAATGGCAGGTCTCGGGGTTTTCCCGCTGGCTTCAGGTTGTCCTGCTCCTCTGAACCAATATCTGCCCATTAGAGCCCAGCCAGGAGGGGGTAGTTCAAGGGCTCATTGTCAATCCAGACTGTGGTGCTCAAGGCAGTGAAGGAAAACATGAAGCCCAGCCAAATCCAGGCTCGTATGTCTCCAGAAGCATCTGATTTGGGCAACAGAAACTAAGAGATTCCCAGTTTGATTCAGCCCAGCCTTACCTCAGGCCCTGTAGCAAGGCTGGGAGAAGAGGGTTTGCTAATGTTCTCCCTCAGGGCAGGAGACGGAGGCACAGGCTGTAGTGTCCATGCGCCTGGGGATGCTATGGACTGCAGAGGAAGGCTGCCTGCTCTGAAGTAAGGATGTTACCTATCAGGTAATTGACTAATCAAATAGTCGATAGGGCGCCTCTGCCTTCGAACCCTAGGGCTGTTGCTACACATCAAAGGCAAAAGAGCCGAAGCCCAGGGACTGCTGGGGACTCCCCAGCTGACCCCAGGCTCCGTGTGGCTGCTGCTTTGAAACACTGCAAGGAGCCTGACACCAGGCTTTACAAAGCGGCAGTGCCCCGCTGGGGACCCCTCAGCTGATCCCAGGCTCCCAGTGGCAGTGCTAAACGGCAGCGCTGAATGCCGATCAGTCCTCAGTTGGTCCCGGGCTCTGTGCGGCACTGCCACGTTGAAGTACCCCTCTAGTCCCCCCCGCCTCTATCTGATAGAGGCAACAAGGGAGGGATGGGGGGAAGCAACTAGGCCTTCCCATCCCTGGTCTGAATCGTACTCAGAGCATTGTTGTGGAAGGGGGGAGGGGAGCTACCCTGCTCACTGAATGTTCTCCATCTGCTGGGCTCAGAGCTGGCTTGAGCATCTTCCTGCCCCATCTGTGGGAGTGAGGCTGGCTTGAAATCCCCAATCTGATCAATGGGTGGCAATGGAATTTCACAAGAGGGTCTAGCAAAGTGCTGGACATGGAGCCGAATGGGCGTAATCAGTTGGCCAGGCAGTGGGTGCTCTTGGGACGCGGGAGGAGCTGTTGCAGTTGGAGGAAGGGTTGTGACAGGTGCTCTGGCCTGCCGGAGGCTGGTCTTTCCTAGTGACTTTTCCAGGCCCCGTTTGCCCAGGTCAGAGGTTGCTAGGTGTGTGAACACGTCCATCTCGCTCCTCCGTCCGCCTCGCTGCTGGGCCCAGGGTCCGTGGGGAGTCCGAAAGCCCAGGGTGGCACGCCCCGCCTCAGATGCCATCCTTGGTAATAAAGCCTGTGGTGTCGCAGCTGAGCTGGCAGTGTTGCTCACGTCAGGCACGGTGGAGCCCAGCTGGCTCTCCTGGTGCCGTATTGGCTTTGCACTTAATGGATCAACTTGGGTTTGTCAAGAAAGCAGGAACAGATTGAACTTGAAGACTCAGCAAATGTTGCCCTTGCTGTTTCAGCCTGTACCATGCTCTTGATGCTGGCTGCGTGGCAGCATGGGCTCTGGTAGCAATAAGGTGGAGTGAGATGTTGCTGCTTTTCACTGAGTTATGTTTTTAATCCTAATCGGACTTTCAGGGGACAAATGTAACCATGCTGGACACCTTGCGCCCTGTCTGCTGGGGGCTGTCACAGAACAAACCGACAGCTCTCCGTCCTCCTTTTACACCTGCTCAGGATTTTGCCCCCAGTGGTCAAATGCGGCTTTGGCCACGCTGCTTAGATGCGTGTCTCTAGACCTCAGTAGGTCTGGATTCTGTTCTTGCTTGGGCAGGGCCTGGGTGGCGTTACTCCAGACTTACCCCCGTGTTCTGGTAACACATGCCAAAGACTTGCACGTGAGAGCCAAGCCTGCTCCTGAAACCTCGGCATGTGTCCCCTGGTGTACCCCCACCCCCACAGCAGAGCATGCCAGAGGGGAAGTTTCTGACATGCAGGAGGGGGCTCATCTCACTGATCTGGACCCGCTTCTGGCTCTGGCCCCATCCAGGCTTGGGTTTTCCTCAAGGCAAACACACACATTTTCTAATGCTGATGGCACCCGAATCTCTCTCCAAGAACCTGGTGTCAGAGCACTGGGGGGTCCCCCCCCATCCCCCTGCTGCAGGGTTCCTAATTAGAGGATTCAGGAGCCTGAAGATCCCTGACACTGATACCTGGTTGGATTCTGGAGTTAAAACTCTTCCCTTCTGCCTGGGTCAATGGCGCAGCGCCAGCGCTTCATTTAAACCCGACCCCCATCGGGTTTAACAGACTGTCTGGGTAGAATCCTAGGGCTGGAGGAGACCACAGGAAATCGAGTCCAACATCCTGGCACCAGATCTGGGGTCCTATTCCAGGCTACGTGAGCAAGACAAAAATACCACAAGTGACTTGCTCGCTTACTCTGGTGCACCCAAACTTTGCTGCAAATGGTGCCGGCTGTTGCTACCCCTTGTCTTGTTAACGGGGAGGTGGGGCCCAGCCAGCAACACTTCATCTTGGTCTGTGGCGCTATCCTGGGGGTGGTGTGGCGATGCAGAGAGGATCTTTTAGAACCTCCTGGGCTGCACTTCAGGCACGTGCTGGGTGGATCTTAGGCTGAAACACATTCTTCCTTTCCGGGAAAGCGGTAGGGAGGGGAAGCCAGGCTGCCTGGCGTGCTCCAAGCTGGGAAGGGATTTGAGGGCCGTTCAGTATTACACAGCGTGCAGCCTTGCGATGCTGCTGGGAAGGCCAAGGGCAGCAGCCTTGGTCGCAGCGTTTTCTGTGGAGTCTGATGTGGTGTCCGTTTCGTGTGCGTCTTCCTCAGATCACAGCCGACCTGCTGTCCAATGGCATCGACGTGTACCCCCAGAAGGAGTTTGATGAAGACTCTGAGGACCGGCTTGTGAATGAGAAATTCAGAGTGAGTGGACGGTGCTTTTGTCTGGTAGTGCTGTGGCCCAGAGCTCTTCAGGATGGGCCCTGTGGCTCCAAAGGCTAGTGAGGATTTGGGGAGAGGGGTCTCAGCAAAGTGCCTGTATTTCCCTTCCCAGGCTGGTGCACTTCACCCCTCTTTGTGTGCCGAGACTGGAGACGATATAGAAAGATTTGCTCCCAGCGCATGACAATTGTCTGATTTCAGCCATAGACTGGGATGCTGAGTCCCTCCTGGTGGCGGGCTGGCTTATTCCCTCCCACAGGGAAAGGAAAGTGAGCAGAGGGCCCTCGTCCCTATGTTGTGTCCCTGACGCCACTTTCTGGGCCTTGGCTGTTGCTGTTCTATGGCAGCAAGCAAAGGCCTCTTGCTGTGATGTTTGGGAGCTGGAGCTGTGACTTGTTTCCAGATGCCCCATTGAGAACTGGCCTGGCTGCAAGAGTCCAGGTCCCTGGTACCATGGTATTTGTGCGGCCGGCTGGGGAGCTAGGCTAGGAAGAGAAGTGCTCCGAATGAGAGCAGTTTCCATTCCTCTTTTCTGATCTTGAGGGGCAGCTGTTGGCAGTGGCTCTGCAAACCAGCCATTAACGACAGGATAGTGTCATTCTGCAGCCTTCCTCGTCCTCTGCCCCTGCGGCTTCCTCCTGGATTATGATTCTCCAAATATGCCTCTAGCCTTTAGGAAGTGGGCAGGAGGCTGCTCCAGTCTGCGCATTGGCCATGCCAGGTGCGAGTGGTGGCATCTTCCTGCATGCTCGGGACGGAGGTAGCCTGCTCCCTGAAGAATTTCCCTGGGGCAGCACTGTTGCTGCGAGGTTTCATAGTTAGAGACGATTGGAAGGGAGCGGCCAGGGTAGAGATGCATTGGCAGATTTCTACTGGTGTCCCTGAATGGAGCAGGTGCTGCAGCAACTGGTGCTAACAGCATTCAGGTGCCGTGTGTGGGGCCTGGCCCAGGCTTTGATGTCTCCTGTGTCTCCCTTTGGTTTTCAAAGCACCCAGTCCCCCATCTCTCGTCATGGCCATCTGCCGTGTTTCACAGAGCTGCCACCAATCCCCCAGGGACCCGTGGGAGAGCGGGGGCCATCAGGTTCCCCCCCCCCCCACCCCACCCTCCAGCGGTGGCCTCTTGTTGTGCTAGAGACGCATGGCCCCATTGACAGGCAGTGCAAACCGACACGCCGACCCTGTGGCGATGTTACTGTGAAATGATGCAGTGAAACCCCTCTCCAGAGTGCTCTGGGGGACAGACCCTCAGACCTTAAACATGTGGCTGCTCCTGTAAGGGCTTGGCCGACTGGGGCTTATCCTACCCACATCTGCTGTGCCTGCCTTTCAGGCTAAAGCCATTAACCCGTGCACTGTGCTCTGTCCCTGCAGGAGATGATTCCGTTTGCAGTGGTGGGCAGTGACCAGGAATACCAGGTTAATGGGAGACGAATACTTGGAAGGAAAACAAAGTGGGGCACCATCGAAGGTAGGGGCTGCCATTCCACCCTCCCCCTCCCTGCCCGTGCCTGTCTGCAGCAGCGCTTGACCGGAAGTCACAGGGCGGTGGTTGGAAGCATGTGTGATATGTAGGGCCTACCAATTTCAGGGCCAAGGAAAATGTCACAGTCTGTGAAATTGGCCCCGCCGCATGAAATGTGATCTCCCCCAAATCAGCCAGGCTGAGGAGGGACAAGACTTGTCCTTCCCCTGCTCAGCAGCTATCAGAGGGAGATCAGAGTAACCCACTTCTATGGGCAGCTCCTTACCAGCCTACAGGGGCTGCCACCGCCACAACTCCTGCCTGAGCTCCGGGGCTGCCGCTGCCCTCTCCTCCCCTGCTCGCTCTCTCTGGCTCCTGAGCAGCTAAGGATGCCTCTGTTCCAAGGCTGCGTCCACCGCTGTCCTCTCCTCCACGTGGGCCCGCATGTTAATCCACTGTTGACCCTGACTAGCAGGTAGAAGCCCCCGTTCGGTGTCCTCCCAGCAGCAGCGGAGAGATCAGACCTACCTCCGCCTCTAGGAGCATCTTCCAGCTGCAGAAACCTCTGCAGTTGCTGCCTGCAGAGCTGGGCAGCAGAGAAATGAGTATAGCAATCCTGCACGCCCCTACAGCAGCTTTGGGATCCTCCCCAGTCTCCTTGTGGGGACCCTGATCCAACAATACAATACCCTGAAATGTCTGCTGGAAACATTGGAATCTGTGAAATGGACCAATTTTTAGATCCTGCAGCCATGAAATTGACCAAAGCAAACCATGAATTTGGTAGGGCCCCAGTAATAGGAGGATACACCACTGACCTCTGCTAAACAGAACTGGAGCCTGCTCTTGTGTTTCTGAGCAGAGTGGCTCTTGAAAGCCTGGTAATACTGCAGAGCCTGGGCCAAGCACCCTGGAGTTGGGGTCTTGTGGCTGGTGGCAGCCTATGTGAAATGGCTTTGGCAGCTCTGCATTCACAGAGAAGCACCACCCCTCCAGAGTCGTGCAGGGGCTCTCCAGAGATCACAGGGCTGCTACTGAAGGGGAAGCACTGGTATTTAATAAGTGATTATGTGGGAGGCAGTATTTCCCAGTGGTTAGAGCATCGGGCTGGCGTTCAGGAGACCTGGGGTCAGTTTCTAACTCGGCCAAGTCACTGCCAATCACCTCTGTTCTTTCTTACCCCTTTCTCTGTCTTGTCTGTCCGCACTGTTAGCTCTTTGAGGCGGGCTTGGGGCAGGCGCTGTCTCTGCAGACACGCCTGGCACCATGGACCTGATCTCTGCTGAGGCCAGTGACAGTGCTGCTGTAATGCAGAAAAAAGGCGCCCTTGTGGCTATGAAATATTCCAGACTCTGATGCCTGTTCCCTGCTCCCCTCCCCTCTTGTGCCTTTTGCCCACCCCTTCCAAAGCAGCCCTGGAGTGCTGTGGGAGTTGATGGACCAAGCAAGGGGAGGGCTCCTAAAGAATCTGGGTGAGAGCAGGGTCATTTCTGAGCCCTTTCATTGTTCTTCTGCCTGCCTGTGAGGAGGGGAGAGTCCTCCACTGGTCCTGGGGCTGTTTCCCCTGCTCTCAGGTCAGCATCTCTCTTTTGCTTAGCAGCTGCCCCGAGGGAGGGGACTGGCGGCAGGGTGCCATGTAAGTGTGGAGGTTTTCTTCATAGGCTCCAGACATCTGTCTCCCTAGCCTGCAGCCACTGCTGTGCAGTTAAGCCTGGAAACCGGTAGCCCAACCTGAAACTGCCACTTTCTGACAAGGAGGAGACGGAGCGTGGGAGGGGGAGGGGGATTCCATGTGCATTTTCCATCCCGATTGTTTGCTCGGGGCAGGTGACTGAGATGCCGAGAGCCAAGAGAGCCTTTGGAACCAACAGGCTCTGGAGCTCCCCACTGAAGCCTCCCAGGGGTTCTCTGGGGAGACTGGGCAGGCCTGTTATTGCTGAGAAGGAAGGGGGGCGTTAGGAGGTGGCACTGCCATTCGGCAGCTTTTAGCTGGCAAAAGGACCAAAAATGGGCACAATCCCAATGTAGTGCCTTTTTGCCAGTCTCCTTCATTGGATTCCAGTGCCCTTAGCCGTGGCCAATGTGCTTAGTTGGGAGTGGTGTACGGCTTTGTCTGCCCCACAGAATAGCCTCAAACCACTCCCCCTCCCCCCCCCCCACGGATCAGCAGAGGCTGGGAATAAGGGTGGAGTCTTTGCCTCTCTGAAAATGCTGGGCTCGAGCTGGGGGTGAGGGTGGAGTGTTCTTCCCAGCCCTGTGTCTCCTGCCCCATCCCATCCGTGCCTCACGAGGCACACAGCCCTTGCTCATGAAGGGCCCATGACTGGCCACGTCTAGCTCCTCGGGCCCCTTCCTGCCCCAAGCTAACCTCCTCAGGAGTGCTGGCAAGGAGCCTGGAACAGACTGCTGTCTGCCTGGGAGGCTGTTTGTGCAGTTTGAATAGTCCTTCTGTGCAGGACTCTCATGGGATCTGTTCTTCTCTTGTCCCCACCACTTGCTGCACCTTCTGTCTTCCTCCTCTTCATAGAACCACAGAATCCTCAGGCTGGAAGAGACCTCAGGAGGCTGAGTCCAACCCCTGCCCAAAGTAGGACCAATCCCAACTCAATCAATCCAGCCAGGGCTTTGTCAAGCCAGGACTTAAAAACCTCTAGGGACTTAAAAGCCACCACCTCCCTAGGGAACCCAGCCCAGTGCTTTACCACCCTCCTAAGGAAATAGTTTTTCCTAATAGCCAATCTAGGCCTCCCCCCCTGTACTTGAGACCATTGCTCCTTGTTCTGCCATCCGTCACTACTGAGAACAGCCTGTCTCCATCTTCTTTGGAACCCCCCTTCAGGAAGTTGAAGGCTGTTATCAAATCCCCCCTCACTCTTCTCTTCTGCAGACTAAATAAGCCCAAATCCCTCAGCCTCTCCTTGTAGGCCATGTGCTCCAGCCCCCTAATCGTTTTGGTTGCCCTCTGCTGGACCCTCTCCAGTGCGTCCACATCGTTTCTGTAGTGGGGGGCCCAGAACTGGACAGAACACTCCAGATGTGGCCTCACCTCTTTGCTTTCTTCATTTTCCTTCCCTTCTTTCCTTCACAGTCAGTCTCAGGCCAGCATTTCACTTGGGAAGCATCCTTCTGACAGTGCAACACGTTCTCTGCTCTCAGTGGCTGGGATCCTAGAGACACAGCGCCTGTGATTTCACTGCTCCCTCCCTCGTCTCCCCCTTCCATCTTCCATTTCATAGCTTGTTCTGATTTGACCGTTCTTTTTATAGAAGCCTTATTTTGAGTAAGCTCTTCACAAAGATGCCAAAGAAACCCATTTAATTTTCAGCCCTCGGATGCCCTCTTGTGGCCTGTTCTTGGTAACGCTCCTGGCTTGGCAGTGAAGGCCCAGGTGGGTTTGTAAGAAATTCCAGTCATCCTTCAGGTGTGTGGTGGCTGCTTTGACATTAGGGAGACTCAAGGGCCCAGCGTTTGCCACTGGTTCTGTTCTAGAAATAGTGTTGCTAACACGCTTGCTGTTTGAGCACCCTGTTCAGCCACGTAGAAGACAAAAGGGAAGAGGCTTTCCCTTGGCCCAGGGCTCTGTCTCACTGAATTAGACTAACAGCCCAGTTCCAACCCACAGTGCACAGAGTGCAGGACAGGGCTGATCAGGCAGCACTGTGATCTTTTTCAAGGCTTTCTGTCCACGTAGCTTTGAATCCAAACAGTCCCAATAGTAGGTTCTGTCATTCCACAGCATGAATCAGGATTGGGAGGAGGGGCAGATTAAAGCACAGATCTGCTCCAGGCCCCATAGGAAGTCTGCGGTAAAGCCAGGGATTGCATCCAAGGCTCCTGAGTCACAGTCAAGTGCCTTAACCACAAAACCATTCATCCCTTCGCCTTTCCGGTTCCTCTGTGCCGGCCAGAGACACTCTTAAGTTGAACCCTCTCGTGGTTTGTGAAGAGACGGTGCCGACTCGGTGGGGGGGTACCCGGGAGGGGTTCATTCCAGCAGTGAGTGAGCAGAGGAGACATACGGAAGCGCTTCCCGTCTTTTGTCAGCTGTTGTTCAGCCAGGTAACAGCCAGTGAGCCTGTGTGTAAATACCCTGATGTCTGATGGAAAAGAGGAAGAAACTGGTGGAATCCCTCAGCCTGTGACCCTTTTGCTGGGCTGAAGGCCCTGCTCCAGTGTGAAGCTGGGATGCACGGCTGTTGGTGCTGAAACAGAAGGCCTTAGCTGGCTGTCCCAGCTGTGTTCTGGGCTGCAACCTAACGCTTTGCCTCCTCTCCTCCTTTCCAGTTGAGAACACGACACACTGTGAGTTTGCTTATCTGCGGGATCTCCTGATCAGGTCAGTATCACTGCTCCTTTGGCTCACGTCTGCCGCAGGGGGCGAGAGGAAAGGGCAGAGCTCAGCGGCTGATTGGTGCTTGAGTTGCTTTAACTTCCCTGCCCTTGCTTCTTGCAAAGCACACTAGCAACCACTGACTGGGGATGCGAACCAGCGGCTGCGCTGGCCAGCAGGAGAGGTTAGGGAGTGTGGGCTAGAAGGGAGCCCTGCGATATCCAGGAGCCCACCAGAGAAGCATCCCAAAGATTGCGTCAGGCCCAGTGTCTCTTACATCAGTGTGCCAGTTGCTCGTTGCCACAATACACCTCTGTGCCCTCCAGCTGGATGCTGTAGCACTGGCTCGGAGTAAGCGGACTCCTGTGTGTGGTTCCCTACAGTGGCAAAGATGATGCTATAAACATGGAAACCCCCCTGAAGAGAAACCACCTCCAGGCCTAAAACTAGTAGGAGTAGTGCTTGCAGTCACCCTGGCTTGGTAAAGCCGTAAGAGGTGCTGGATCTCGTGTCGAGGCTTAAGCTGATTGTCAGCTGGGAGTGGGGGGAGCTGCTCCTCCTGATATATAGACACCAAGAATTCCAGACCTTTCTCTGAAGCCCTAGTGCTGATCACTGCTAGACATTACACTGGGGTCCTGGGGCTGTTTGCCAGCTCCTTGGTGAAAGACGCATCTAACAGGCAGCCTGACTTTGAGATGCCCAACCTGCTGCTTGGGGGTGAGCAGTGCTGCTCTCAGAAGTGCTTGGCAGGCTCCAGGGCGGGCAGCAAGCTGAGAGAGGGGTGCCGGTGTGAGTTTCATGTAGGGGTCCCTGTGAGAGGAAGAGTTTTCTCCACAGGTAGCAAAGCTGTGGGTACTCGACATGCTCAGAGCTCTGAGCTGGCGAAACCTGTGGCAGTTATCCCTGTCAACACAGGCTGCTTAGCTGAGTGTATCCACCACTGCCCATAAACCCCTCTAGGCAGTCAGCTGAGGTACGGGCTTGCAGGGCTCAATACTTCCCTTGCCTGCAGTCTTTCCTGCAGCATAATCCCATGGCCAAGCCCTTCCTTACCATCACACTAGTTCACCTATCAATGCCCTCGGAACAACAGACGGGGTTAGTGGGGAGGCGGCTGGTGCTGATAGAGGCTCCATACTACCTCCAACTGCTTCAGCCACCCTGGAGTCATGTTTTCAAGTCTCCATTAATAAGCAGAAGTTAGAGACATTGAAATCGCGGGGGCGCAAAGTGGCAGCATGGGAGAGGTGGCAGCAAACTCTGCTGCCATGAAAGGCCCTTGGTGAGGCCACACATCTGTGCTCGGAGATCTTGTTTAACCAGCTTCTCTGCTCCCCTCAGGACACACATGCAGAACATCAAGGACATTACCAGCAGCATCCACTTCGAAGCCTACAGAGTGAAGCGGCTGAACGAGGGTCAGAGCACACTCTCCAACGGCGTGGCAGACCAGGAGCTAGTGGCCAATGAAATGTAACAGTCTCGCTCCGGTGCCAGGACCCAGTGCGCTCGTGCTCCTGTTTCTTCCTCTCCCTCCTTTATTTTGTATTATTCTCCTGCCACTGCCACCGTCCCTCTCCCCTGCGCTGTCAATTAACTGACCAAATAATCTGATGCCGTATCTATCGTGAAGAGCGTGGTGACTGCCAGTCCCCTGGTGCTGCCCGCCTCATGGCTCAGGGGTTCTGTTCTCAGCTCCTGTTGGGCGTGGCAAGGGACAGCTGGGGGGTTGGGCAGGAGGAGGAGATGACTGTCCCAAGTCAAGTCCGTCTCTGTTTACTCTCCAATTCTAGCCCAAAGTGCAGCCCCTGGGTAGGTAGAAGAGCCCCCTCCTCACAAAGGCCTGCTCCAGCTCCCACTGAAATCCATGGGAAGACTCCAGCTGGCTTCACCGGAGCTGGAGCAGGCCCTGAGGGCTGCTTGGTAATGAAGTCCAGGCCATTGGGTCAGGGTGGATCTCCCTTCCTGCTCACAGGAGCTGACTGCGAAATGAATCTGATTTCTCTCTCCTCCATGTCTTGAAATGGCCTGTAGAGTAGGGCCGGGGCTGCCTCAGAGAAGGGCGCCCTACCCCTCTTGCTGCCATGTTGTAAAGACCGTTGGAACCAAGCGGCTTTGCCCAGTGTCACATGGCTTTATTTTCTTCTCCGTCCACTGAAGGCAAGGCCATCTGTTAGGCTGCCTTCAGAAGCAAGGGGCAGGGATGTGGATGGATAGGGAAGGGGATCACAAGCTTACCTCTGCCTCTTTCCCCCTGCTCCCCGCCCCC